TATGTATGTATGTATGTATGTATGTATGTATGTATGTATGTATGTATTTAAAATCCTATGTTGAATATACCAGAATTCAAAATTTAATTTAATAAAAGTTAATGGAACTTATGGGTGGATATAGGGTTTCAGTTTTTATGTGTTTTTTCTAGATGTCCCTGCTCCTAAAATTAAGCAACTTTTTAAAGAACTGATGAAAAAGACACACATATATGCACAAGTATGGAACAAATTTAAATGCCCCATCAAGATCGTTTTACAAAATGTGACATTAGTTTCCTATACGAGGAAATCTGTAGAGCTAAATATCCTAAACGGTGGAGTTGTAGTTTTCAAATTGGTATTAATACATATTTTAAAAATCCCAATGAGTTTTGGATGCAAATACATTAATGCAGAAGATTTAAAGTACAACTGAAACCAGAGACTTTTTTTGAGATGACTAAAGGCCTGGTAAGAAAAAGTCATGGAACTTCTTATATATAACTGCAGGGAGACTATGATCAAAAGAAGAAAGGTTCAACAATACCCACAATGGTAGAATGGTTGGTGAAAACAATGTAACTTATAAAGATGGATAAATTAACTTCCTTTATTAAAGCAAAAACAGTATCTGTGGATTTACAGTTGACTGGACATCCTTTAGACTTTTTACATAAAATAGAAAAAAAATGCACTCGCTTTTTGTTTTATTATAAAAACTTGATTATTATAGAAAATAGTGAGCATTTTTAAATCATAGAGTAAGATTGTAATTTTACTTATATTTCCTGCAAAAAAATAAGCTTTATTTCTTTCTGCACTTCTTTTTCTTTGCTTCTTTTATTTATTTATTAATTTACACTATTTGTAAGCCACTCAGAGTCACCTTATTGGTGGGACGGTGGGGCATATACATTTAATTAATAAATAAAATACGCTTTTTCGACGCAGTGTTAAAAGAGATTCTATATTTTCGTTTGCTTTAACGCATTCCTCACACTTGAGGATTTGGGTTGCCCTAAACTTGGCCGCAAGTGCCGTGTAGCTGCGCAGAGCCGCTCAGTTCTGCAAGACTTCGAAAGGTCGAATGCCCCCGCCCCTGCCGCTTTGCATTCTGGCCCTTGTAGTCTGCTCTTGTTGAGCCGCGTCGAAAAATGGCGGAGGGCCGAGCACGTTGCCTACCTTGGCATGATGGGACCTGTAGTCCCCGGCGGTAACATAACCTTCGACAAGTGATTGGAAGACGACTTGTTTTTCGTCATCGCTTCTGGAAAGCCGACGAATGCCAGCCCATCGAAGGTACCAGCAGAGAAGGCGGTGTTTCCGGGAATGGGTGGGGCTTCCTTGAAAAAAAAAAGAAAACTCCCCGGATGCTGCCTAGCCTGAGACCGGCTCGGAACTTTCCAGAAAAGTCGCGGTCGTTTTGTCTGTGGGAGAGAAAGAGGCAGGCGAAGGTGGCACTCGGCGGCAAGAGCGGGTAGACTTACGGGGAAGACGTCAGGCTGCCTTTTTTTTTTCGGCCGAAAGCGCGAGGTGGGTGAAAGACAAAGGGAAGCTGTTGGCCGCGCCTTCCTTTCTCCCCCCCCCCCAGTTTCCCCCCCCCCCCTCTGTCGTCGCGCGAGGAAAACGACCGCCTGGGCAGCTTCGTCCGCGCGCCTGGGAAGCCGAGGCGCGCGCAGAGCGCGCGGGGCGCGAGCCAAAACCGTGCACTTGTGGGGAAGGCGGGGGGCGGCCAACCGATACGAGGTGGGTAAAGGAGGCACGAGGGCGGAAGGGGTGATGGTGGTCGATGAGGGAGACTGAGGAGAAACCTGAGAGAAAGGAGCCTTTTGGGAACGGGGCAGAGGGGGGGGGGTTGATGCCCATTGTCCGTGAGACGAGGAAGGGTGACCATGAAGAAGCATCCTTTCTGGGAGAAGCTGGGTGGCGTGGGGGGGTCCTGTGGCGGCAGGGGGTAGAGTAAGCCCTTTTCCAGGTGAGTAACCTTCATCTGCTCGGAAACAGGCAGGTGTGCGACTGAAGGAGGGGGACCTTATTCGGGCCATTTAAGCGAAGGTGGCCGAGTCAAGCGGGAGGGAACAAGAAAAGGTGCTTTTGTGTCAGACTTAGTAATTGTTTTGTATAGCCATTTAGGCTGTGGGAGGCTGGGGAAGTGGATGAAAGATGGGGAGGATTGTTTCTGTTGAGGGTAAAAGAGGTATAATGGAAGAGAAGGTAAAATAGGAAAGTGTGGGAAGAGTCTCAACAGCTGTTTTTACTCGCTAGACCGGTGTCTTACTATTATTCTCTTCCCCACCATGTTCCCGTGTAGATAAGGTTGCATCATGGTGAAGGAGACCACATACTACGATGTGCTTGGGGTAAAACCTAATGCCTCTCAGGAGGAGTTGAAAAAGGCCTATAGGAAGTTAGCATTGAAGTACCACCCAGATAAGAATCCTAATGAAGGCGAAAAGGTGAGTTAATAGGGTTTTTTTTTAATCATCTTCCCACCTTATGCTAATTAACTGTGTGGAAGGTAGTGTGTATCCATTTCATTTTACTTCTTGGTGTGAACGTGTTGGATTCTGATTGTTGAACCCATATGCATACCTCTTCAAGACATAATATTTCTTCAGGTTTTCAATGTTTCCATGTTCTGTTTTGCTTGACTATTGCTTGCCCTTGAACATTCTTGTCTCTTGTCCTGCCAAATGTCTCTTATTGAAAATACAACGATTTTTACAGTTAAGTGTCTTTCTTTTTGAGAGGGTTTGAAAAACGTACATAAATTTTTTTCTCCATGTCATTTCCAAATGTGACCTTCAGTACAAGTTTCTATGATGAGCTTGACTCCTGGTGACTTATGTAGACATATCCACTTGTAAATCAGCATGATTTTTTTTTTACTTCCCAGTCTGTCTTACTGCTCTTTGGAAAACTTGCAGCCCAGCTCTTGTGGCAGCACCTAGTCATTCTTAGCTGCTTTTGAAAAAGCTAAAGCAGCTTTGAACCTGTGAACTAGACTTTAGCAGAAAAGAATAACAAATCACTTTATCACAATATCAAAAAAACAACACCCTGGTTCTGTGGAACATGACTTAAAGGTTTACAATTAGGAAGGTTACATTAGTAAAGCTGATGGTATAAATAATAAATTATCATTTGTCTGGCAGCAATTACATAAATAGATTGTTTTTAAATGTTGTAGTTCAAACAAATTTCCCAAGCCTATGAAGTCCTGTCTGATTCCAAGAAAAGAGAGTTGTATGATAAAGGTGGTGAACAAGCAATAAAAGAAGGTGGTAGTGGAAGCGGTTTTGGATCACCAATGGATATATTTGATATGTTCTTTGGAGGAGGTGGAAGAATGCAAAGAGAAAGGAGAGGTAATGCAAAACTTTCTTTGATCTAATGGAAATTGTTAACTTTTTATTAGTAAAAAGGGTGGTTGCCTGCAGACATAAAGATAAAGGTGATGGTGTGGATTAAAGGTGAACAGGTAAATAGTTTGTTTCAGAATTTTTATTTATTGTAAAACCATTTCTTTGTAATGATTGCTGTAAATGAATTAATGTCCATTAAAGCATCTATTAGCCTTATTTGAATAGTACCTCAAAGTCTGTTTGCTGTTATTACTGTTAATATTAGCTGTATAAATTATACAATTAGTCAAAATGTTTTCAACATGGTTTAAGCTGCACATTAAATGGCCTTTGTAACTCTTTACTTAGAAATGCCCCAAGTTTAATTTCCATTGTAATAAATGTAATTTCCCCCCCAAAAAAAATCTCAGCTATGAATTGAATTAATCCTTAATAACATGCTTTTCATTTCAGGTAAAAATGTAGTTCATCAGTTATCAGTAACTCTTGAAGATTTGTACAATGGAGCAACCCGGAAACTTGCTCTGCAGAAAAATGTGATTTGTGATAAATGTGAAGGTATGCTAAAACATTTCTTTAATTTTATAGAAGTTCAGGAGAAATTTTAATGTGAAAAGATGGAGTATTCTTTAATCTTATTTTTTCATATGTTTTTTTAGGCCGAGGGGGCAAGAAAGGTGCAGTAGAATGCTGCCTTAATTGCAGAGGAACAGGCATGCAAATAAGAATTCATCAGATAGGGCCCGGAATGGTTCAGCAAATCCAATCTGTGTGCATGGAATGCCAAGGCCATGGGGAGCGCATCAGTCCCAAGGACAGGTGTAAAAGCTGCAATGGAAGGAAAATTGTTAGAGAAAAGAAAATTCTGGAAGTCCACATTGATAAAGGTATACTAAAGGAGAAACTAGGAGTTGTGGGATATTAAAAGTCCTACATATTAACATATTAATTTTAGAAATGGATGATAAATTAAGTAGGTTTGGGTTGTCTGTGCCATGAGACCCGTGTCTTTCGTTAATTTTTCTTCTCAGAATGACCCTGTTTGATAAAGAATATAGTCCCCCCCCACACACACACACACCTGACTTTCTGGGCATTAAACCTCAGTACCTCTGTCAAGAGGTGGTGCTTTCATAAAATAGTATAACTTCCATAATTTTTGTATGAATTTTGTGTGTTTAATGGCTCCCAATAAGAATTGAGGGGTGCTATATGGGTGACATAATGATTCCTTGAACACTAGACTTCACTAGACAACTAGCTCTGGAAAACTAGTATTTGGATAAAAATAATTTTGACTTAAGGGTTGAAATAAACACAAAAGGAAAACTATTAAAAATGGTCAAATTAAATTATTACAACTAGTATACATCAACAGTTCAGTTTCACAATATCTAAAAAATACAAACAGGTTACTTGTACATTCCATAATACAGAACTTGAAATTTTGGCAATTTTTTTTAGCAAGAAATAACTTATTGAGACTAGCTGGCTTTTTACTAACAGCTAAGGAATATGTTTTGTATGCCTGTTTCATGCTTCTACTTATGCTTCACCAAATTATTTTCAGAGTGAAGAATGCTAAATCTATTAGTACAATAATTTAAAATATATTAACCTGTTTCTTTTGAAATAGGAATGAAAGATGGTCAGAAAATAACTTTTCATGGTGAAGGTGATCAAGAACCAGGATTGGAGCCAGGAGACATTATCATTGTATTGGATCAAAAAGATCATTCTGTGTTTACAAGGCAAGTTTTAATAATACTGTGGAAATCTTATTTGGATAGTATGTATAACAGTTTGGGAATGTCTGTTGTCAGACATTTAAGGTTTATGTTTGGAAGACACTGGTTGGAGCAGGTGTTAAATTTTGTAGTCAGAATAGAATGGTCAGGGTAACAATTGCACACAGTTAACTTTCTCTCTACAAAGGTTAATTATTTCTGCAATGCCTTGCAATTTTCCCAATTTGTTCTAAGCTACTAAAGGAATGTAAACCACTACATTGTAACTAATATCTGGACACCTACTACTTTTAAAAATGCATATTAATATGCAGTGGTACAGATGACGGACTGATTCTGTCATAGTTCTGTAGCCCTTCACTAGTTATATCAAGTTATGAAGCCTGGCACAACAGCAGTTTTTAATTGCCAATTCCTGGTTCTTTGTTTAGGAAAGTGTATGATACTCTCTGTTTTAAAAAGTTTGTTCAGTCTAATGATGATTCTAAGTCATTAAACTGGTTTTCCTTCTCAGGAAGTTAAACTTCAGATGTTAAGTAAAATGTTACATTGATTTTAAGGCTTGAAGTGCTCTAAATTGTTTCAGTTTAAGTGATGAAACAATTTCTTATATATGGATGTAAATAGTATGTATTTGATTACTGTACAGTAGCAGGGCAAATCAGTTTAGTTTTTTTCCCATGAAATTGTGGCAGGATTTTTTTTTTTAACTTAGAAAATTAAACATGGAATATCATTGAGTTTCAAGATACTCTTTGATTTATTATGGGGATCCTCATCCATATTTGAGCAGGAGAAATTTTGAAAACATGATAGGAGCCCTGTGGCTCCTGGATGGGGAAAATTGCCTATTCACAAAATGGCTGCCATGGGAAAGTTTCAGAGGGCCAGTTTATCATGTGTTGTGCTGTTTAAATATTTGAGGTTGCCTGCTATCATGCCTGGGAACAAACAGAAATTCCTCCTAAAAGTATTTGCCTCCATCCAAAATATTTTATTTTTCAATAAATATTATAGAGTCCATTTACAATTCAGGTGCATTATTGCAAATAAAGATGCTGAAAGATAATCACTTTGCATTTCAGCATGTCACCATCGCTTAAAATTTTTTAAGAAACGTATAAAGGATTAGTGAGGAACCACCACCCTAGATGTTTCTGTTTTCTATGGCACTCTTTGATAGCATGCTGGGGACCACTGATCTGCTGTATTATAGCATAATATTTAAACATCAGGTGTTAAAATAAAACCTTCATTTTTTTTTGTTTTCCCATATAAATCAGTTCTAGTGCCAGAATAGTCTTATTTCACTAACAAATCCTTTTAATTCTGTAGGAATGCAGATCTCTTTATACTCTCCCTGTACATTTATTTAATAGTATAATTTACCTTTTTAAGTAGTTTTTTTCCTTGGCTTTTTGGAATTGATATCCTGTACAGTATGGTTATAGCCCTACAATTCTAAGGCAAATAACTTTCTCTCTGCAGGCGAGGTGAAGACCTGGTCATGTCTATGGATATACAATTAGTGGAAGCACTCTGTGGCTTTCAAAAACCAATTGCAGTGCTGGATAATCGAACTATAATAATTACTTCTCATCCTGGTAAGTCTGTATTGCTCTGAAAAAAGAACTTGGGTACAATAAATTTAAATTTAAAAGACCATGGTTTAATACACTTTGGATGTAAATCCGTCCATATTACATTGTGCATATAAAGTCTTATTTATCTTGTGACGTTCCCCTTCAGTTAAATGAACATTCTACTTTAACTGACAACTGCTCCCTGCTATTAGTCTGCTGAACATTTGCAATTAATACAGGAGTCACTATTAATTGGAACCCACCATAAAATGTTATCTTTTTGAAGAATCAAAGTTGAAATGCTATAAAGATCTTAAGCAGCTATAACTGTCTTAAATTAGTACTGTAATTAAATAGCTCCATAGAATTATCATTTAGCAAACTCCTGTTACATTGGAGTGACAGGAATGGCACAATCATTTGTAACTCCGATGAATTAAAAATCTTTTGAACATGTCTTGGAAATCCTTTGTTTTTTTTTATCATGAATATGCCATGTTTGGATTTGGTTACAAAATATTTCTAGCACTTGGATCTTTTCCCAGAATCAGATTACTACTCTCTGTGGATGCCTTGTTCATGTGTCTTTAGTTTGCTGTTTAGATGAGTATCTGCTTGAGCAATTGCGAGTACTTGTAACTTTAATTTTATATAAAGTTTGTTAAACACAAGTTATATCTTTTTCATTTCTAGGTCAGATTGTCAAACATGGTGATATTAAGTGTGTACTAAATGAAGGAATGCCAATCTACCGTAGGCCATATGAAAAAGGTCGTCTTATAATTGAATTTAAGGTAAGTGATGGTTGAATTACTAATTAAATATTTCAGAATATTTCATTATATTTTAGGCAATGCTGCCTTATAATGCTGATTTCTTAAACAATTGGTGTTATACAAATTAAGCAAATGTATCTTTTACATTAAAATTCAGACACATTATTCATACTTTTTCATACTCATAAGAATACCTTTATGAGAAGCATTCATATTTTTTCTATTTTCAGGTGATATTTCCAGAAAGTGGTTTCCTTTGCTCAGATAAGCTATGTTTATTGGAAACACTTCTACCGCCAAGGCAAGAAGTGGAAGAAACTGAAGACATGGATCAAGTAGAGTTGGTAGACTTTGACCCATCTCAGGAAAGAAGACAGCATTACAATGGTGAAGTATATGAAGATGATGAGCACCACCCTAGAGGTGGTGTTCAATGCCAGACTTCCTAAAGTGGTCTCACAGTTACACTTGTGCTGCTTGTCCTGTATGTCAGTTGTGGATGAGTGAAGGACTGAAGTTGCTATATTCAAGACTTGCTATTGTCTCTGTAATATTTAAACTTAGTTGTTTTTAAATCAAGTTAACAAATTAAAATTGATAAAACTCTACTTGGATCAAGTTGGAATGTTCATATTTCTATATGGCCTCCTAAGGAAATCTGAAGCCACTTTACTCTGGCTTATTTTATTTTGTGCATCATAAGTGTATTGTGTGCAAATGCACTGGCTTAGTATTCAGTGATTTCTGTTTAGTATTATAAATTATATTCCCTCTTATGTATGCATCTGTATTTATGATTCATGTTAAGGATGTGAAATTAAAATTTTGTATTCATCTAGATACATTGATGTGTTTTGGGTGTGCTATGGCTGGTTGAGATTTTGCACAGCGCCTGTATGGAACTCTACTTGTTTTCTTCTCTGGAATGTTGAACACCCTTTCATTCTATACTGAGCTTTAGTTAGAATGCTGTATAAAACTCATTGATGTGAGACAGGATCCTGACATGATTCTTGGATAGGAGTAAAAAATTCATCAAACGTCTTAAGTGTAAATGGGACAAAAGCTGAAATCTTTAAAAGGATTCTGAATAGCAAATACATAATTTTATAGAGGCAATCGTGTAACTGAAAAATACTATGGCTAAGAATAATGGTACAAAACTGCATCCTTAAGCATTCTGAGTTTCATGTCACTAACATTCAAATTCCATTCTGCATGAATACTAGCAAAAAAAATACCCATTAACACTAAATGGCTCCTTAATGAACTGTTCACAGTCCAAAAGGTTTTTGTGTGTAGTTTCTGAAAAAGGCTACCTTTTAATGACTATTTCAAAATGTCAATATAAGTAACATAGTGTAGATTCATCTAAAATAATAATTAGGCATTGCATCATGACTGGGGGAAGGGTTAGCAAAGATTCAAGTACCTCTTTTAAATATACCTAAGACTGCTATTTCTAAAAACTAAGTTGCTAACATTGTCATTTATGATAAGCCCTAAATTTATGTAACTGCTATATGTATATATCTGTATATGGGCAAATAGGATAGCAGAAAATAGCATTTCAGTTCCATATGAAATTTTAAACAAGTCTCTCACCATTAGAATCTTAAATTGACAAAAAAATTTCACTAGCTTAAATCCTTGGCAAGGATTTAAGTTGTACAGCAAATTATTTTAGTCCTTGTGATAAGGATGAGTTACAGTGGAATTGTGTCTTTAAAATGCTTGATTATTGTACTTTACACTCAAGTTTGTACCTGTAGGGGGAAATAAAACTATCCTTCTAACAGCTTCATCTCTTCTTCCTTTTTGGCCTATATAACCATCTATTCCAAATATACAGTACATTTGTCAAGAAAATCTTCTAAAAAAACAACCCTTGGTCGTTTGGCATGTAGCTAAATGGGATGATCCTGAGACTCATACACTTTGGCATCTTTATCCCATTGAAGCCAGTTACAAGAAATAACTTTGGCAGATATATATAGATGCTTAGTTATAAACTGAATGCTCAGAAGCAGAGAAGTCACATGTCTGCCTCCTGAGTTGCATGAGGAAAATACATGAGCTAAAGACTGGTTTGAAAAATTAAATCATTGTCTAATGCAGGGGTGTCAAACTCCTGTCACAGTATCATGTGACTTATTGCAGCTTTGCTAAATGGTGTGGGCGTGGCCAACGTATCCAGCCCATCTGGCCCATGGGCCGGGTGACAGCCCTGGTCTAATGCCAGTAAATACTGAACTCAACATACCAAGCTATTTGAGGTGAAATTAAAAAAGTAATCTTAGAAAATGTTAGATAACTACAATATGTTTTTAATTCAGTTTTGCTAAGAGTTTCAACCACTTGTTTTTATCAAATTTCTTTAAAAGAAAAGATTGCTGAAACTTGGTAAAAGGTATGGTGCCTCCTTTATGGACCATTTTCTATGTATAACGGAGAATGGTCTGCTCGTGAGGTGGCTATGGAGGGTTCTTGCACATTTGGGCACAATGCTGCAATTACAGAATAACACATAAATTCAGCTGTTATAAATATAAATAAACTCTTGGACACATGGTAAATGTTTTAGGTGGTGAGGTTCATACGAGCACTGGTGTCAAACTGATGCCATCATGTAACAGATCATGCCACCAAATAAAACGCATACTATAGTTTCTCTCTCTCCCAGTGAATATGTATAAGAAAGATTGGATATACATTTAATAGTGCTAATTTGCAGATGCAACTCAATAAGTAACTCTTTACCAGTCCAGAAAGTAGTATACTTTCTTCATAAACACAAATTTCAACTTTGGTTTTATTTTAAAAGAGTTAGAAAAGCTCTAAGCCGCCTCTTTAAGAAATATTTTATTGTAGAACAGATGTTTTTTTAAAAAAAAGCTACGAAAAAAATCTGCACACATTTAGAAACCATAAAATGTCCATTTTGTACAGCAAAATTAAAATTCTTCAAGGAAAAAAATAGTTTATTTCTTACTTTCTGAAAATAAGATGAAGCTTGTAACATAAACTCGGTATATTTCAGAACATCAAAAAGTCTACAAAACATTAACAATCGGTTTCTATCCTATTCAAGACAATTTATATATTCTAAATAGGAGAGGGAAATTAACATTTAACCAGAGCAGGAACTCCCCACTCCCAGTGTGGCTATAAATTTAATCTGGCATGTTTTACACATATTCCCATTAAATGGTAATTATCTTAATAACAAGGGGTTTCACTCAACCAAGTTACATAATCTGCAAGATCATAACTTTCAACGGGCAATGTTTAAATATGTGCTTTACATTTCCATGAACACTGCCAAAAATTTTAACATGCAATTTTTAAAAAGTAAAACTGCATGTAATTTGCTCTTCATTTTTTCCCGTAACTAAAAGAATTTATATATATTTTTTTTAAAATCCAGAAATATGTAGAAGTAATGTCATTCACATAAGAAGCAGAAATGAAACATATGAAAAGAACATTTATAGAAATTGAACTGATTTTGCAATTTGCATACACAACTAGCGTTATATATATAGCTAAAGGTTCCTCTTGAGACAGCTGAATATGAAATTCAATATAAATTAAAACAAGCCTTTAAAAAATCTTTTTGGAAACATATCCGCTGCACATGGTACACACTTCTCAGGGATTCAGAAGCCACATGCTGAAGGAATTTATGCAGTTCTATGGTTTCCACAGCTTCAACAGCCCATCTTCACTATAGGTAGCAATCAAATTCTGATGGGGATGGTGAGCAATACCAATGACATCCTTTTCATGAACCTTAACATCAGAAAGAAAGAAGAAACAAGATTATCTCCAGAATATAAGATCAAATGAAGTATTTCCTCTTATCTTTCTCTAAACTGAAAGGGGAAAAAAAACTTTTAGAAAATCATCAAGAAATGTTTTCTGAAACTAGTAGAACTAGCTGAGAGAACAAAATTTACTGCTTTAATAATTAACAAAAACCTTGACTACTTGTTTCTTGTGGCTTGGATTACCCCTATTAGATTTCCTACAGGAAAAGGAGAAAAATTAAATTTTGACTTTGGGATTGCGGATTACATCTGATTTGATTAGAGAAACATTGTGGATTGTTAAATACATGGTTATGGTTTACTTACAGTCAATAGGTGATTGTATGTTGGATTAAAGTTAAACTACAGTCCTAATTCCTATATAAGTCCTGAAAAGACACCACAAAGCAGGCTTCCAGACGCTGCCCAAATTTGAAGACTTCAAATGTTAGCCGACCAAAGGATTCTGATTGGAAGTCTTATACATTCGGTGGATATTTGGGTTGAGAAAAAGTGGTGTGGCAGTCAGGAAACACGGCGGAAAAGTTTTGTAATCTTCACCAGTGATTTTTAGAGGAGGGAATCTGCTCTTCCAGGAATTCTGTTAAGTGTAAACTGGGGAAATATTAGATTTGGTGGAAAAGTCTATAGGACCAGGGACCCAAATCTAGCCTCTACTGCATATAGAAACTGCTGCTAGGTTGCCACCAAGACACACTCTGCTACCCACCGTCAGTGTTCTCTCCAGCTTGCCAGTCACTGTACTGAAACAGTAGAGGACAAAATCTTCACCCACACAGTAGATCCATTCGCCTCGAGGAGATAGGGCACAGCAGACAAAGTCACCCCCTTCTCTCTTACCAGAGCTGAAACTTCTCACAATCTACCAAGTGGAAATACGAACAAGAAAAAAGAAAGAAAGTCAGCAGCCATAATATAGTTCAAGATATGGTATTCATTTCTCATGAAAATGCCCCCTCCAAAGGACAGTGTGTAAAATGTTAGGGAATTGCAATCTCCAATGCAAATTATTAGCAATAGCACAAGTAGCAAGAGGTCCCCAAATTTGGCAACTTTAAGACGTGTGGACTTCAACTCCCAGACAAGTTTGGAGACCTCTAGGTTAAAGGATGCTGATGGAACAAAGAGACTAAAGGCTAAGAAGGAGTTTTATAACTCTGCCTGGAGAAGCGGGTGGGAGGGTGAGCTGAAATGTCTATATTAAATCTGCACTGTACTTTTGATTCAATACATAGTACAAGTATTATGATGTGCATATTTCAAACCTCACTAGCTCCTTTTCTTTTGTCTTTGAAAATATGTTAAAGGCACAGCAGGGGAATACCAACTAACCTTATAGTATAGGAGGATTTGAGTAATAAGCACCTTAAAAAAGCTATAACAATGTTACTAGAGACATTTATAAATCTTGATTAAAAACATATATAATCTGTAAGCTGCCTAGAGTCGCCTTACAGCAGAGATGGGCGAGGTAAAATTTTAATAATAAAACATAAAAATAAAAAGTAGTACCAATATTATGGGCTAATATATGGGAAAAAAGAGGATTTTTCTTTCAGTACTAATTTCTGTGATCTCTGAAGCAAAAGCTAAGAACCTTCCAAACCAATTTAAAATTGGTCTAAAATTGATCTAAAATTGTGTATGAACAAAAATATAATCTTTAACCAAATAGCTTGAAAATAGGGTCTTTTGAATTACCTGAGACTCCTAAATATTAATTCAGCATCCTCAATCAACCAATGCAACATTTAATCATGACTTTAAAAAGCCTTACAAATCAGAAAAAGTGGGAACAACGACTTCCCATTGTCAGCGCTAGCTCCTGAGTCCAAAAGGAACACCGACTGCATTCTCACAGATGTTTAAAACACAATCCAATTACGTACCTGGCCCTGCATGTTCATGATGACCACTGTATTTGATCTGTTACACACAACAAAGTGCTCTGGATTTTTAGGCAGGAGAATCACACTGTTCACAGTGATGTCTGTTCCAGCTGTGCTACCCAGGGATTTGAAGGTACTACAGCATTCGGTAGTCTTCATATTCCAAACCTAACAAATAAACAGGAAAGGAAAATATGCAAATTCCATATTAGAATGAAACCCAAGCTACGCCACATGTGTCTTCATGCAGGGTATATAACGGCCCTAACCACAGCATTGTTTCCCATAATACATAGGCCTTTTCTCTATCTATACACACTGTCTCTCACTGATACAAACATTTCATTCAAAAATGATCTTAGTGCAATCAAAAAGTCAACCTGGACCAATATTAAAAAAAA